CATCTCCGGCACTCGAAGAAGGAGAAGGAGGACACAATATCGCTGTGTTCCGGGAGCAATCCACAGCAAGAGGCACCTGGACTGCAAAAGACCTGCTTGTGGTGACCTGCACAACCTCCTGTCTCTACTTTGGAACCTGGGAAAGTCTCTTGGGCCATAACAAAGGGCTCGTTAAACCTCTCGACTTGAGAGTGCTGCCAAGAAAGGTGTCCGAGCAGGATTTGGCCCCAGCATTCCTGTGTCATCCAGCAGGACGCAGGGTGCTACTGGCCCTCTGGGACCGAGCAGCAGAGGACGGAGATCTGGCTCTAGCTTTACACAGCCAGGGCTCTTGAGCAAGCTAGAGCAGGACAGGTAATTCAGCCTGGACAGTCCTAACTCAGTTCCTGAAGGGTCAGCCAAGACGGCAGTCAGCACGTTTGCTCTGGTCATACTTACAGTCAGCAGCAATAATGCCAGATTGAGAGGGATGCCACGCGGCTCCCCTCCTTGTCGGTCTTGAGCCGGGAGCCCACAAGGGAAATAAATTGGTCTGGGGAGGGGGTCTGCAGGGGAGAAGAGCAAACCTCAGTGCCCTCAGCACTCCTTGTTCTCATCCCCCCCTCCAGGGTTTGGCACAGTACAGGGAGGTTCGAAGGAAACCCCCGTGTCACTCGAAGGCCCCTCTCCTTACCGAGCAGGCGGAGACAGTAGAACAACTTGACCTGGTTCTCTGATCCCGGCAGCTTGGCGATATCACACACCTGTGGGAAGAAGGGAAGGGATTCTCTACAGTCCCAGATGGGTGCAGATGAAAGTGTGGAATGGATCCTGAACTCCCACTGTCTAGAGTCCTTTTGAGTCCCAGAAGACATCACTGCTATCACAGCAAGAGCCAAGAACTCAAAGGTCCAGACCATAAGCAAGAGGGGACCCTGATTTCCAAGTCCCTTTAGCAACACGGCTGCTCTTGGCTGGACTCGCACCACAGGGTTGATTGCTCTGGTCCTGACTCGCTAGGACAAAGGGATTTGAATGGACCCTCCCGTCAGCTGAGCTGGACTGAGGGAGACAAGGAGGCCACCACCATTTTCTTCGTCTTGGGCAAGCAGAGAGGTTGCCAGCAGAGTAGGGCTTGGCACTGCCATCAGCTGGGTCTGTCTGGGTAATGGGACTTGGACCTATGGGATGAGCGGTACAGAATCAACCTCCCCTTACCTGGGTGTGCAGGGCAAAGCAGATGCTCTTGAGTTTCCCATCAGGGAGAGAGACCTCAAAATCATAGGCCACCTCCAAGATCTGGCTCAGACTCTGCAACAGACGGTGAAAGTCAAAGGGAGGGTTAGAGAGGAGAACCATGGAGTAAGCAAGAGCAGAAAATTAGTGAGTGAGAAAAAATACCTCTCTGCCCCATGCTTATTATTGCTTCGGAGCTAGAAGTTTCCACATCTGCAACTCTGACCACACCACACTGCGCTGTTTGAGCCCCTGCCCAGTACCCTGAATACACCCCACCTGGATTACCATTCTCCGGAGATTCAGATTCCTTCCAAAGGATGCCAGGAGGAGAGTGGGTCCCACAGCCCACAGGTGTCATAGGCCCCAAAACTGACCGCAGAGTCAGGACCAGCCAGCATCTGCCCACACAGCCCCAGGGACACAGGACAAGGGAGCACAGAGCTGAAGTGGGATTCTCCCCTGGGGTAAACCTGTGCTGCCTCAGGGGGCTGCCCAGGTGCAAACAAAGACAGAGTGCAGCCCGTCTCACGCAAGAGACACGCTCCACAGGCATAACCACTGTATAACATGCTCCACTTCCATAACCCATAGCAGGGAGCCCCAAATCTCCATGCTTTAAACTGCCAGGCCCTCACCATAATCCCTGCCAAGCCCAGAGGAAGCAGAGCAAAACTCATCTGGAAGGAGTGGTCTGGTAGTTCATTTCTTTTGTCTCCCCTTATCAGACTTCCCAGAAAATGGAAGCAGCATTCCCATCATAGCCATGATCTACAGATCCGGCTGCTGTGAGTTTAGCCCCAAAGGGTAGGCAAGGTCGATCCGCTAAAGGGTCTTGAACTGCACCAGGAAAGCCCTGAGAGCTATGGAGTTCCTAGGGCAAGTCATACACGCACAAATGTGTGCCAGTGCGCACACCCACGCATAGAAACAAAAGCCAATGCTGGTTTCCCAGGTCGCGTCTCACCATGGTGACATGAAGATTGTCGACCCCTCCCTCGTATTGTTGCAGGAGACAGGGGAGCCTCTCAAAAACAGTATTGCGATGCCTCTCATGGTGGAGAAGGAGGCCTATTGCGGGTCCCAGAGCCTTGACCGCAGCCTGCTGCAGCTGCAGAGAAGAAAGGCAGGACTAAGTCCCTCCAACAGACTTTCCAGGAGGTTGCTCTGGGTCAGGAAGAGGCACAGCTTTTCTCCTTCTCAGGTCAGCAGTGTCCTTGGTCCGTCATTGGACTAGCCCTGTCTGCATGGTTCCCATCTACGGCAGCTGCCAGGGGCCGTGGGATATGGCCCTGAGGCTGGCTCCCCACTGTGCTGATTTGCCCAGATTCATGCGCAGAGAGAGCAAATTCCTCCTTGTTGCCATCCCCCTGGACACTGAAGGAGTCATGCCCGGAAGATGCTTCCCCCTATCCCAGAGTTCACTGGCATCCTTTAGTGCATACAACTGCACGCTGCCTGTGGGCAGAGCAGATTCTCAGACATATGATATGAGCCCCAGAGACTGGGTCTTCCCTGCCAGGACTGCACAGACAGGCAGAAATAGGGAAACATGACAGCTGTGCTATGGAGCTAGAAAGACAGCAGCCCTCACCTCCAGGTCCTCGCTTGTCAGCCAGCTGCTGCTCATGAAGTTAAAGAAAGGGAGCACATGAAAACCATAGTCGGCTGCCCGACAGCTGGGGAACGGGCTCTCGTCCCCGACGTGGAATTTCAGGTTGGCAGCCCGGGCAAAGCCTTCCACAACTGCAGAGGGGGAGAAAAGACAAGACGTTTGCACAGGAACATTGGAGTGAGGTGCTGCAGGACATGCAGGCCTGGTGGTCATGGCAGTGTCCCGGCAGCCTCTGTGCTGCTCAGGGCAGATGAAGAATTTGGGACAGGTGAAGCATGCACCATGGGCTATAACTTGGATTCAATCTGCTCCATCTGCCCCAGGACCTAGGGGCAGCTCCAGCCTCAGTGATGGCTCCTAGGAAATGCTCTGCAAGAGTCATGAAGGGCCCAATCCTGCTCACAGCTCAGAGCCTCCAGCAAGCCCAGGGAGGGACGGTTCTCCACTTGTGGTTGCATCAGGCCCAGGAAGTGCAGTGGAGGCCCCGCTTACCAGTGTGGGACACTCCAGTAGGACCCAGGCTCTGTGTTAGGCCCTGGGTGCCCAGTGGGGGCACCTGCAGGAGGGGCTGGCACTCACCTCCACATAGCGCCTGCTTCATCTGGTCGGTCTCCACCAGCCTCAGCACAAAACGCAATTTGCTGAGCGTCAGCACAAGGAA